TTAAGTATGATATAACTACGCTGCTTAATTTCTTCAATAGACTGACGGTATATACATACTCATAAACACTTCCAACGTCGAATGATTTCCCAAGATTCTTGTGAGCCACCTATGAAACGCTTCCATGACGTTACTTGTACGCCTTTCCAGCCTGTACACGCTGAAATTTATTTCGCGCATCCACTGATTTTCGAAGTATTCGAAAAACTTCAACAATTTGAAATCGTTCGGATACTTTGACATGCTTTCAGATTTAATTGCGTTGAAGCCAGTAATAATTAAATCTTTGGGTAACAAGGCGAGAGCAACGAGTTTCTTGACCAGCAGATACTTATCGGGGTTTTGAAGTTATTTCTGGCTTGAGCGACCCCGATTTCTTTGGCTTGTTTGAAAAGTGCCTGTGTAAATAAATGTAAGACGATGTGACAAACAATTCTTTTGTACACACAAAAACCATAGCCAAAGCATTAGACTATTACCTGGCCTATATGGAACCAGCAGCCCAAAATAGCAATATCAGAGAAAACTAATGTGAACGCGTTCCGAAGTGCTTGTTCGTAATCGCACATAAGGTGCGTGGGTTGAAATTGAGGGTTCAATTCCAGGATCTTCCTCAGTACATCTACGTATGACTCCGTAACACGGTTGCTCATCAAGCAGTACACTACCGGAATTATCTACAGAAATACGAAATACACATAAGATTTGCTTAAAACTAATCAAGAATATTTTTGGAGGAAATGTTTATACATGTAAAGAGTTTGGAAAACAGTTTAAAAATCGTAAGAAGCTCCTCAACACGTTACGTCCGCAAAACTGATACGCGCACAAAAACCTCGGGAGACGTTTTATTATTAAATTCTACGGTAGGAGACAACAAATAATTTCATAAAAAAATTCGAAAATCATCCGAAACAGGGTGAAAATAAAAAAAAAGGTTTAAAGTAGCGAAAAAGTAATTTAATAGTATGTTCAGCTTAGGTAGCGCCTGGAAAAAAAAAACGAATCATAAAAATTGTCAAAAAAGCTTTAAAACCCGGATTTTAGTTACTTGAGGAGACCGTAGATTATGCCCAAACCTTGCTTACTATTATTTATAATTACTACTATCGTGATTATTAAGCGAATTTCGAAAAATAGCCTGAACTGATCCACCGTTATATGCATGCCTCTACAATACCAAGTTTCTCTTACCGTATGACTCGAAAATCCTACAATTCATTACAGCTACTTTTCATACATAAATAATGCGAGAAATGGCGACAAAAAAATTGTAAGAATACCGTTAACCAAAAACAATTACCTTTCCATAGTACTCGCCCTGAATCGTTAGGAACTGAGAATTCCTGCTGCCCGCAATAATTTTCGGACGGGCGTTGAACGTGCCATCGACGTAAACTTTGATGCATGTGAATTGTCGGAGAATTTCCTCATCACACAAAATGATGTGCGTCATTCCACCCGCGCTTGTGACCAACGTGGAACAGACTTTACGCCATTCTTTGTCGTACAAATACCTAAATTGCGTGTTCTCCTCCTTGAGCCGAGCGTCAATGTCCACGATCGTGGAGATACCGGTAAAATGTGGTACTTGAAAGTAATTCTCGCCTTCTTGTTGACGGTGCCTTTGCAAGGACCTTTTTTTTTGTTTTAACAGTACCCGAGACCGGGGGTCCGAATTCCTACAAAAATACATAAGTGGTGAGTGGAACTTAATTCGCGTCATCCACTACGCGGAAAATTTTTTACGAATTTCATTAGTTGCGCACATTTTCTTTTGAGTCTTCGGGCAGGTTAATATATAGAGCAGAAAATCAAAAGCACACACTCGACGGCAGCCCACAAACGGGTACCTTGTAAGATTACTTTCAATATGCGCTTAAGAAGTGCTGATAATGAATTTCTCATGTGAGCTTTTCATTTAAATTTTTCGACTGAATTAGACGATTTGCGCGCTGTACATTTTCATCAAATAATACAACGTGGAAAGTTACAGGTGCATGCGAAGAAGTCTAAATAAAAAGTGCGATATTAAGTTAATATGTACTAGAAAAATTTTAATAGTAACAAAATTTCACCTTGCACAGATCTCGTCGAAATACTGCGAAACACTCGACATCCCCGGTTGCCGAACTCCCTGCATGAGGTCCTTATGGAATCACTTATCTTCCTCGATGTGCTTATCTTGAACACATTTTGCAGTATCATGGCTACCTGTTATTTCAATAATGTTTCCCTCCTTTGACTTGACCCTAACGGTACATTTACATCCCTTTACTTTCCTGGACTTGCAGAATAGGGTCCTATAAAAGTAAAAGTGTAGAAGTACGATAAAGAACAATAAAAATAATACTACAAGAATTCGCTTATTTATCATAAACGCATGTAGCGTCCACCATTGCACAGTTGAAACTTTAAAGCACAGTTTAAGATGAGAGAGAGCGTGTCGTGCTTACTCGGAAAAAGGAGGAGGTGCAACGCAACGCAATGATACTCGTAGTAGCGACACGCGCGCACAGGGTGCATGTAGTAGAAGTGGTGCTTCACGTGTCTGGGGCAAAACTACGATTCACGAGAAGTCGCGAACAAATTCACATTGATGCTGCAAACTGTATTCATTTAATCATATTTAAACGTTTTTCTTTAAACATTTACTTACGCGAAACACGCTAAAAAGAAAGGAATTAAAATGGGGGGAGGGGACCGTCATTTTAATCGGAACGGACGATTTGCTTTTTGTAACAAATAGCAAGCCCTGAGTATCAATTAAACAATAATAGTACTTACGTAACGCCTTTATAAGTGTCCTTCACGTGAAACACGTATCCTTCAATTACCAAAGGTATTTTGGTACTCATCTTATCATATCACGCGTGTCACAAAAAAAAAACAAAAAACAAGAATTCGCATTTACACAGTTTCAAAATAATACAATAGAAATTTACAAAAACACTGGTTAGCCGAAGTAATGAATGTATTGGAACACATGAAAAGAATGAAAACTGACGATACTATGCAATAGCCGGTAAACACGCGTGTGCAAAACAAAAACAATAGACAAGTGTCACGTGTGTTGCGGCATGCGTGCGGTGCAGGTGGCGGTGGCTATCGGGCCCACAGCCGCGAGATGATGTGTCGCCTGATTGAACAGAAGTGTGCAGAATGCAAAGCTATCGTATGCAACTCGTTCAGAAAAAGAATCTCCATGTAGTAAATGTAAACACACTTCCCAACGTCGTCAGTAAAAATGCACTCTGCTAAAATTACTTACTTGTATCAGAAGTTAGAAACTAAGAGCGGCCGGGTCTCTGGGTTGATCTTCCAATCAAATTATTATTACATAGAGAAATATCACTCATGAAAGGTAAATAAGCGCACCGCACGAAAACCTCAACTCACACATTATTGATTTGAAGACCAAGAGTCAACTAACTATCGACTTGATAAGAAGTGTTAAAAAGCTCTTACTATGACCTACAGAGCGAAATATATTCAGTATAAATATATAGTACACAGTCGTAATGAAGTAATTTTTTGTCACCGTAAAAATGTTAAAAAAGCTCGTTTTAAACTTTGACAGTCGTATAATATCAAAACATTATTAATAAGGTAAAGAAAGCTCAAAATTAGTTTTTTTTATACATTAGACAAATAACTATTCGATTTCCTGTATTAATTATTTTATGCACGAGCTGAATATAATTTTTTTTGTTGTTGAAAAATTGTACTTACCTAATTAAGATGTTAAATACGTAAGTTAAGTGTAATTACAAAAACGCCACTAAAAAAAGAAAGAAAAAATAAATTATCGCTCAGGCGTGGGATTCCAACTCTCGCTCTCATGTTCAAAAAACATAAGTAGCAATGAGCCAACTGCGCTACAAGGGCATATGACCGGGGATGGTTAAAACTTGTACATGTTCATGATAGAGAGCCATAGTTTGTATTAAATATTTGAGCTTACGGTATTATGTGGTGCATGACGATAATATCATGAACAATCTACTTTTTCTATTATTTTAGTACAAACAGTAAAAAACAGCAGCATTAACGTGGAAAGAAAATAGTACAATTCAAAATTCGAGGGAGCACGAGTATACGTATTTACTCCGCCCTTGCCTACATAGCCGTATACGTATACATATGTCGCTTCGTGAAATGTATACGTATTGAATTTATTAAAATTTCATCATTCGTTTATTAATTCATTCATCTTTTCATCTTTTATAATTATTATTCGATTCCTGATATTAATTACCTGTCCCCCAGGTTATCTGGTTAAGGTCTGTTGGGATTTATGTTTTTGCTAGATATTTATATCTGGCTTTCTATTATTTTTCAATGAATAATTATTTATTTTAATGAATAACTTGCAATTCATAATCTATAAGTCCCCTGGGTTATTTGGTTAAAGTTGTTGGGTTTTTGTGGATTTGGGCGTATAGCGCACTTTGGGATTTTTGAACTGCCCGCCGAGGACTGCGCATGTTCGGGTCCCTGAATCAGTGTTTCTAACAACCAAGAGTTCTCGCGCATGCGCACAACGGTTTTACTCTCTCTCCAACCAAGCTAGCAGTGGAGGGAGAGCTCCCCCTACCTTTACCTTTAACCCAAGCTCCCCTCGCTCTAACACCTTAAATATAATCTTATATCTTAGAGGGGTATGCTCGACGTTGGTCGAGCGGGCTACGTCTTTTGCCCGCGTATAGAATCTGNTGCTGGATATTTATATCTGGCTTTCTATTATTTTTCAATGAATAATTATTTATTTCAATGAATAACTTGCAATTCATAATCTATAAGTCCCCTGGGTTATTTGGTTAAAGTTGTTGGGTTTTTGTGGATTTGGGCGTATAGCGCACTTTGGGATTTTTGAACTGCCCGCTGAGGACTGCGCATGCTCGGGTCCCAGATGCGCACTGCGCAGTCTCGGGTCACTTGACGCTTTCGGGTCGGTTGACACTATCCCCCCAAGGCCAGTAGCCGCCGCCGCAGTAGCGCGTGTCTGACCATTTATACCCACTCTCTCTCCCACGTAAGTATACTTGGGTACAATATAAATTATATACATACACCTACACTGCACCTATATACATGATATATGTATTATAAAATACACCCATGCTGCAGTGCAGCAGCAGAGCCTACTCCACGTGGCTGCTCGGCGCGCGTGCTGCTTCGAGGGCCCAAAAACACGGAAGAAGAAGAAGAAGAAGCGGCAGAGGCCCCTCGACAACCCGGACATCACGCTATATACTGTACCTATACCAATAGGTCTAATGTAAAACGCGATGCTGCACGAATACCGTCGTCGTCGTCGTCGTCGTCGTCATAGTCCCACCATCAGCGCGCGGCGAAGCGAGTCCCGTACGGTATAACAGTATCTCGGAGCAGTACACTCGGCGCTCTCGCCACGCCAGCACCGTCCTCGCCACCGTCGTCGTCGTCGGATTAGCAGCAAGTGGAGGAGCACGGCTCCGCCATGTTGAGCGAAAACAACTCGCTACGGCTGCTCTTCTTCGGGTTAGACTCCCCGGCGCCGGCGTTGTCCTCCTCGTCGTCGCGAGTTAGCGACGGCGCTCGGAGTTGCAGCGACGGTGGCTCGTACTTTCTCGCGTGGTGCAGATAGCGCACACCTGCAAGCGAACAATATCGTCTGTTGCCGAGCCGGTACGAAGAAGAAGAAGAAGAACAGTATATATAAAGGTGGAGGTGAAGAAGAGGGGAGCAGGTTATACCCCCTAGTGTGTAAGCGTATACCGGCGCCGCTGCAGATGCTCCGCTCTGGTAAGGACGACCGACGACGACGGCTGATTGTTCCTCGCTTTTCGCGCTGTACCGCGCGCTGCTCGGATCGGTATGCATATATCGGCGCATACATGACTCGCCGCTGCTTTTACATTGCACACGTACTCGGTCAATACAGTTTGGTCAATTTCGAGTGATTGGTGATTGCCGTTTACCTCGGTTTGAAACCAAGTACAGGGCTGCGAAAGAAAAATCGGTATAACCTGCAGTTTTTCCCGAAGAAGAAGGAATTTTTAAAATAAAAAAGGAGGGGGGAGCAAACAAAAATTATAGTTTTGACGCCTACATTGAGCCCGAGAATCGGCCGAAAGATAAAAAACAGTGTAATGTGCTTTATAATTATGTCCGAGGAGAAACCAGCCCTGTCGCACTGCCTGATGGCCTTCTTGTTCAAAAGAAGGTAAGTCGAGTCGTCGCTCTTCCGTCTTCCGGTCGCTGTTTTTCATTTTTTTTTTTTTTTTTTTTCCTTGCCTCATCTTGTTTTCTTTCTCTGTCCCTCTGTTTTTCATTTCCGTTCCTCTAACAAGTATTGCCGATCGAACGCGACACGCGATTAAAGTCAAGTCAATGTTTGAACTTGCCTCGTCGAAAATGTACGTAATGTACGTGTAATATAACGTGCACACGTACATCGGTGCTACAACATATATAGGTAATACGGTGGTCTGAAATAAAAAAATTGTGCCTCACGTGCGTGCAATACTTCCTTGCTGTGGAATTCATAATTGTTTCATTCGGTATACTTATACTTACGTGGTGCGTATGCGTGCGTCAAATAAAAATTTAATCCTTGCACCACTACAACTGTAAATCTCTTTCTATACCGCAAAAAAAGAGAGAAAAGTAATAATTTATTGTTATCGATTTGCCGAAGCATTCATGTTTCATTTAATATCTATATACTGGTTTACTTTGTAAGTTAACAACGGAGTAAGTATACTCATTGCTTTTCACTTTTGTTTGGCATTTTATCTGTTAAACCCTGTATCTCGCGATATTTATTATTTTTAGCTGATTTATCGGTGTATCACCTTTTGTTGAACTTGCGTTATCGGAGAAGAAAAAAAAAAAAAGACAAGTCGGGTACGCGATTACATTTATGATAAAAGATATCATAAAACTTTCAATGTGCCATGCGCGTATGAAAGCATAGATGAAAGATCGATAGTTTTTGATGCAAAACTAATAAAAGCTTACACTCTAAGCCGATATTCTTTGAGGTGTACATTCGGAGCAGTCGTCGGCATTATTACCGGCGGGAAAAGTGAATAATTTACTATAGGTAGTGCTCCGAAAAATTGGTCATTTCGAGGGTTTAGTAATTTATTTGCGTCTTGGCGCCCTCGATGCTTTTACTGCACACATGTATATACATATACTTATGCTTAATAAATGTATATGCACGTGCTCAAGCGAGGACCAAGAGTCGAGCGACGAAAAGTAGGTCTTGACAACTGAAGAGAGAACGAACGTGCAGTATTATACACCACTACACGCCCAACTGCGAGAAACGTGGGCTCGAACTGTTTTCTCTGGCTTTGCAGAGTCCGAAAAACAATACCGTTATCTTGTATACGTGTACGAGCAGTCGCACTGAGCTCCGCTGCTGATGCTCTCGGTGAACGCTTGTCATCCGAAATTATTGTGCACACCCCCTCGCTGTTGATACATATACCGATTAGGAAAAATCGGTTTTCTGTAATGGGATGTCTTTGGCTGCGAAGCCTTAGTTGACAATAAGTTTGTACACGTGTACACGCACGAGAAAGAGCCCCCGGGGATTACCTCGGATCCCTTAATAAATACACGTTAGAATTCAGAACACACGTGGGTAATGTATACATCGACGGAGGAGGGGATTTATTAATTCCGTGTTATCGAGCGATGACTGGACGATAAAGTTATCAAACAGTTGACGGCTCTAAAATGCGAGCTTTTAATTTATTGTCTCGAACGAAGTGCGGGAGGAAAAAAAAAAAAAAAGAACGATTATTCAAAGAATTTATTAGTAAGTTATTTTTATCTTTGGAAAATATTTGGAGGCTAACGTGGCACGATTCCACTGGTTTTCTCGAGGTTTCGTGAGCTTGGCAGAGCGAAGCAGAGGTATCGAAATGTTTGTCATGTTTGAAATTTTAAATTAAATCAAGGACAATGTTTGCAAAAAAAAATTATCAACGACTAGGAAAAAAAAAAAAAAAAAACTTTTACGTCGATTCCCTAGTAGATACTCGAAAGTATATATAAATATGTATACAGAAAGAAAGAAAAAAAATTTCTTGTTCCGGTTCGCATTAAAAACAGCTTTGAATGGCGCCGACGTATGAATCAGCGGATATAGACGATACAGACAGGCTAATGAATTCTGAGAAAGAAAAAAATAAACGACAATCTTTATCTTTGTTAGATACGAGTTACAATGTCTCGTTCCGATAGGGAACGAAACTTCGAAGAAATAATCAATACCTATCTCTAAAACACGTGAGCTCGAAATAAATCGATAAAAATGATTGTACCTTTACATTTGTATATTATGAGCTATAAATGGAAAAGAAAAACATTTCTCGTTGAAAGTTGTACGATAAAAAGTAGTGTCGGTCATTGCTGACTCGTCGAGTTATCATAATATTTCCTTTCGATCGTGCCCGACAACGATTGATAAAAAAAAAAAAAAAAAAAAAAAAAAAAAAAAAAAAAAAAAAAAAAAAAAAAAAAAAAAA